ATTCTTCATCAGGAGTTAAATTCTGCCCTCAGACTTTATTAATGATTGTGCTGACTATATATGCGATGAAACAAAGCAGAGCTCATTCCGCAAAACCAGCATTTGCTTTTCTAGGCTAGGAAGAATAATAAAGAAACATATTAAAATTGGTGATGACAGCTACTTCTGTTAGAAAATTAATTATATGCGACTCAAAGTACTGATTGCATATCCATAAGAGGTTTCACGTTCAAAGGGGTAGCATTTGATTGAACTGAGTATGTATTTAGAAAGATGGGATCTGTTTCTTTCAAGCGCTATGTTAGATTTGGATGATTTTTTTGAAAATACATTTCACATTTCCTCACATTTCCTTACTTTTTATCTGCAATACTTTGCACGCTTTTGTACACCACTTAAAAAAATACTTGAACTCTTAGAAGGCTACAAGTACATGATTTAAGACCTGACTGAGAAACCTGGATAATCAATAGCTGGAAATTTTGCTTTCCCCTATTTTCAGCTAAACTGAAAACATTTGAATTGTTCATGAATCTGTGTGTGAACGTTTTCTGCTTGCAGTAGGAATGGCATTCCCAGCATGCCCACCTTCTCCTGTATTGCAGCAGTCCTCCAGTAATGGGCAACTTGGGACACTGTAGACCCTTTCACTTGGGAAAAGATCAGCAATTGCCTACAAAAATGCCATTAATTCTATTGCCTAAATCTAAGGTGCTTTTTAAAATGAACAACAGTTTCCGCAGTTTGATCAGAATAGCAGCAAGAAAAAATAAAGCAATGAAAACCCATTAATCCATTCAGTCTTATTATCTTTATTCTCACATCTTGCACTGCAGCTCAATATTACTGCATCTGGCAGAGCCTGAAGCATGACCTTACAGATCGTTTCAGACCTCAGGTATGTAGCTAGCACTGATTCCCACCATAAAGCTTCTTGTACATAATGAATAAGTTAGTTGACCAGATGCTCTAAACAAGGTGTAATGGGTTTGTCAGCTTTACTTTGGTATGGTTGTCATATGCTGTTGCCTGAAGGAGTGTCATGAATTTAAGTTAACCTTGAGCACATGGATGGGGAGAGGAGGTGAAGGTTTGTGCTGGACTGAAAAAAGAGCACCTTGAACAATTAACTGTTGTGCAGGTGTGGGTGCAAACATGCTCATGTTATTCTGCAGTGTGCCTAGTCCTCCCAAATTAAGAAAATCCAGAACATTCAACAGTCCCACCAGTGGCTGACAAAGGAAAACCAAAACCATGTAGGCCAGCTGGAAACCAGCCACGTTGCAACTCTAATGGAAAAGAGTTCCTTCAAGTAGCTTAACCATACGGACACTGGACGCTGTAGGGAACCAGGATCTTCTAAAGAAATAGACAGTGGTGCTCTTCGTAATCAACTCTAGTTTTGCTTTTGCTTTGCATTTCATCCAAAACACTCTCACTCACGCAGAATAAAAAAAATAGTAGCCATTAGTACAGAGTGATCTCGTTATGCTTAATAGCTACTAATGCATTTTTCTTCCAATGATTTGTCCTAACAATTTCAAATCCTTATAAAATTTTAGCACCCACAGTATCCTATGGTAGGAGTTCCACAATTAATTGTGCTTAACTTCTCATTTCCACCCTGCGTTTTGCTGCGTCTTATTTGTTTGTTCTTGTACTGACATCATCCTTCAGACAGAATAACTCTTCCTCCTTACTGATGTTTATGTGAATCCTAACTACTGCAATAAGCTAAATCTTATGGCAGAATCCTGAAATTAAGTTATTTCCACAATGCTCAAATCAGCACTGAATAGAGATAACCAAGGCAGTTTAATAAGCTACTTGAGTACCAAAAGTAGTACAGCAGCCTCCCTTGGCTCAGAAGGATAAATTAACCCAAATGAAGAACCACACTGACAGAATACTTTTATGCAGTAGTGTATAGTACTTTAAAAATATATGAAGAAAATGTGATCATATAGTGCAAAATCTGTTAAAGATTGCTCTACCAGGATCAAGTCACAACACTGACTGTCTTCACATTCACAGGGAAATAGACATTCATACCATGCATTGGCATTCATGCCAATGTTGTAGCATCTCTGTATTAAAGAATCCTGCGGCCACATGGGGTTGATCACACCAATCTGGCACATGGAGCGGGAAATAGCTGTCGCGTTGCATAGCAGCCCTGCTTTACGCCATTGGGCTTAACTTGTCATGTAAGCAGTGTGCTAAGCACACGTCTATGCAAGGGCTATAACGACAGACACAAACCTACCGCATGCCCTAATTTGCCAGATGATTCATCTCATCATGTCACCTGAAGCACAGGCAAAACTTGCACAGAGAGTAAAGAGTTCTCAAATTATTTCAATACTTTCTAATTCCTATAAAGGAGACTAGAGAGCTCCAAGTGCTGCTCTTGAACAAGATTTTCCACAGGAAGCGGCAGGTAGTTTCAGTAACCACTGACCACTGTTAGCAGACTGAGATGGTCTCTTGTTTATAAGCTGCTGTTTTCTCCTTATTCGTGCTGGCAACCAGACCAAGTAGGGCTCAGTATTCTCACCTAAGGAATATCAGTTGTCCTCAGAGCAACAATAGGGTGTGAATTACTTGGCAGTAGAGGAAAATACTCCACAAATGATTTGAGATTAGTTTCACTTTTCTGAAATATCAAAGGAAATTTATACAAAAAGTAAGGAATTTCAAATATTAACCTTGTTCATGTGTGTGTAGAGATGTAGGGAATATTGTCCAAAACTTGTGCTTTTTTGTGCTTGCCTGCAGTGGAAACTGTGAGAATTTGTCTGTGTGCTGGGGAACAAATGAAAGGGATGCAGAGGGAAGCGGAGCTGTGCTGTGAATTCTACAACCTTTTTATTTTATTCAAAGATATACATCTTGGAATCCTTAATCAGCTTGTCCCCTCAGAAACTTGTCATAGCAGGCAGTAATAAATCATTCAGGCATTCACTCAGTCATTCACTTCGTCAGTCCCACTGAGTGTCATGTATCTTGAGACTGCTATGAATATATGCAGCACTGAAAATACAACGGAGTTATGAAACAAGCAACTCACACAGGAGATGTCCTACTGTTATGATAATAGTAGTGCTAAAAGCGTTCAAAGAACAGAACACAATTCAGTGTGAACCTAAAGAAAAACACTCTTGTTATCAACATGACCAAAAAGGTTGGTATTAGTTTAATATTTCTCCATGAGTTTTTCCATCTGGCAAGAAACTAGAAAGAACGCACATAGAAACCGGGACACATTCAGCTTTTGCTTGATCCTATGTAATCTCCATAGATGGTAGAACATTTATGATGGTAATACATGTAAGTTTTCAAGGGCAGAAGGGCTGTGAGCTAATAGATCTAAATTAGGAGGAACCTCTGCAAATCAAGATATATTTGAAGCTCTGCCATGGAGCAGAGCCTTCTGAAGTTCACACTGGTATTTCCTCTCTTTAAATAAAGAACACAGAGCATGACTTACTTGCGTTCAGCAACTGTCTAGCTATTAGGGGACGCAAGGTTTGAAGTGACTTCCCTGTCTATTAGAGTTCACCTTCTTTGGATATTGCTATCGCAGGACCTATCAAATTTATGTGGTAGGTTTAATTAGTATCTCTGGACTGGGATTTAATTTTTAAGATCACACACTCCTTTCCCCGTAGCGCAACAAATCAGCAGTAGATTGCCACAAGGTAAGAGTAGCTTTATGCAGGAACTACAGGTAGGTGAGGTGTGTGACAAGTGACAAGTGTTCATTAGCAGGAAAGCTCATTCAGGAGTGATCTGCCTCCTGTTCAGTTGACTATGCATATATTCCACACATCTGAACTAAACTCACTACTGTGGATTTTTGCCCGGGCTCATTTATATATATAGATCATAAAAAATGGCAATGTAGTGATAATGTGTTTGGGGAAAGGGAGATGTTTACAGTGGCAGATACTTTTAAAACATTTTCCTGGGGACAAAGAAGAATACACCCTGAATCAGCTGAAATGCAAATTCAGTTCCTGATTGAGGATCACTGTGTACTATTCATAAACGGAAATCAATACCCTGCTGTCACAAGAGCATATGTATTATTAAGACATTAAATTGTGTCATTCTTTCATCACTTTTTAAGAGATGATGGAGAAAATGCTGTTTTCTAAATAGAAAGACAAAACATTACATTTCCCATTCACTTTTGGAGAACACAGATCCTGAGTCTCGGAGTTTATCAAAAGAAAAATCTTTAGTGGAGACCCTTTTAAACATGTTTGTAAAACATTTGCTTTGTGTGACTTTGGATTACAAACCTGTGCAGGTGTACCCACGAGCAGACAGCTCTTAAGCTTTTTCAAATGAATCAGCACGAAGATAACTTTTCCTCATGGTAGTATTGGACCTCAACATTGACTCACCTGACTTTTGTTTTCTGTCCATTTCACCAATGCATTTGGTTTGCCTATTAGGTAGGTTTTAAACATACCAATACAACATTTGGATTACCAGAAAAGCCGAGCAATAAAAGGAAAATGAGATTTACATTAGTTATACCATTTACTTTTATTATGGAACAGAGATGCATTGCCATGTTACTTGCTATAAACTCAGATGTTCAGAGATTGCTGAGCTTGTCCTGGAGCTGTGCACCTCCACAAGAAAACTGCAATTTCTATTTTCATTTGCATGTCTTATGATTTTATAGATTAACATAGCACAGACTGGCACGAAAATCTCCTCCTTCTTAAAGTGTGACTATAGTAAAAATTAAAAAGGAGGGTTTTGTCAAAAAAAAAACCCAGAGTGAATCTACAGAAAACTTCATGGCATAAGTCCATCGAGCGGGAGTGTTAGAGAGGAAAACAAAAAAACCCTGAACATTTAAGCAAACCTAAACTTCCTATACCTGCTGTGGCATGGTTGAACAACCTGACAGAGATCAGAATTAAACTTGTGCCTCTGCATACGAGTCGTATACAACAGTTAGGCATCAAAGCAGTACTTACAGCTAGAGAATATCAGAGGACATGAGTGCTCATCCATTGGGAAATTGTGCAGCTGCAGCTGGCACTCAGCATTGATGGTAAGCCTACGGAGAAACCAAGCGTCTGTTACTACACATCGGCACAATGAACAGTTGGAGAAGGAGGCAGGGTAACCTTAGGTATCATGCAAGAGCGCTTTGACATCTGTAGGTAAGGCTTGAAAGGAAAGGACTATATTTGCAGATTGTTCATTGGCTATTTAGGCCTGATCCAAACCAATAATAATTATCTAAACCATAAATAATTTCAGACACATCATTAAGAGTTTCTTGATCCCAAGAAATCTGTGCATATGTTTTTCTCTGGACAATTCATCATTGAAGGACATGGGATGGAAAAAAACATTCTTTAAAAAACTAACAGGAAATATGGCTGATGGGGTAGTAAGTAATTCCACAAAATTAAGACCTCATAAAGTATCTTATGAGGAACATTCTCTGCATTTACCTATAGTGTGAACTTAAGATACTTTCAATCATTTTGGACTATCTCTTGAAAACTTAATAAATCTCTGTATACCATTCTCAGTTGTACAGATGTAACAAACATCAGCAGAAATGTCTTCAGCCCCACTTGAAAATGTGCAAGCGTGGGGCATGAGGTTTTTGTCTTGGCTTCTTTTTTTTCTTTTCTTTTTTTAAACTAATTCAAAAGCTAAAGGTTTGGGAACTTTTAGCTTTGGGAAAAGTTTATCTCAAATTTAGTATGGCACAGAGGAAAAGATCTGTCTTGGAGAAGGTCACCTGTGAGGAACTTAACAGCGATTTTGCACTGACACTAGAAGAGTATTTGCGGCGTCACAGCAGGAGTGCATTCATACCCAAAAGCTGACAGGGAGGAGGACGGAAAGGCATGGAGCGTGATTGAACCACGTACACTTTCTTCTGAATACAGAACACTCATCAACAACTGACAGTATCAGGACATGCGACAGTTACCGCTTCCATGCTATACCAATTCTGTGTGCTCACTAAAGTCAGATAAATTGTTTTTTAATTACACAGTGTTATCAATGAACAACGACCATTCTAACAGGTCCTCCTATGTATAAAGGAGGCTGACCTGAGTGGGTGGAAAGGACTCAAAACATCTTTCACAAACTAAAAATGCTTACTCAAAAAATCCACTGGGTCAAGTATCACCCCTTTTTTAGCTGTCTTAGACAAATTTTGCAGTCCATTCAACAAATAGTTTCTTTAGTGATAGGTATGCAAGTCTAACTTCTTAACTTGCCCTGAAATACTGAAGCATGACAATAAAAAAAAAACAATAAAAAACAACCCAACCAAGAGGGTATTTGAGTTGACATCCTAATCACCGAAGTCTTTAGCTAAAGGCTATTGAATTAAGCAAGAGCTCTGTCACAGTGGAGCAAGCCTAAGAAGGGAATGGTACTAAAAACGCCAGTATCATTTCCAGCTGTTTAATTCTTGTCTTATTGTTTGCCATAGACTTGCTATTGGAGCCCAACTGCAATTGCAAGTATGATCAGAATACGCTGAACACAATCACTGAAGAAAATGTAGCGTGAAAGGGATGTTGCTGAAAACGTTTGCCATGTGGAATATGGCTTATGGCAAAACTCCCTTCTAAGCAATTCGTCTCTTCCATAAGTAAACACATATTTTGATTTCCACAGGCTTTTTTTATGCAAATATATACAGTATTTCTAATACTATATAGTTGATGTTATCACACAGATTAGAAAAACTCTAAAAGCCTTTCCTCCAGCAATTCACCCTTGTGATGAGATGTGACAGACTATCTTTCACTGTGAATTATTTGAAGAATCAACTATTGGCATTAGGATGAATCTAGCAATACTTTATCCAGCCCTGCACCTAACACTGATCAGAAAGGTTTCTGACAGGTTTTATGGGACTACATGCTCCTGATTTTATTACAAGCTCTAAAAAGCCCAACTTATAAAATTTAGACAGACATATTTCCAGTTCTCAAGGCTCCTTTTCTAGAAAGACAAGACTTTGTTTTTTAAACTCTGCAGCACTTACGCCTGAATATTTCAGTATTTCTCAGGCAAGCATCAGGAAGAAAACAGGAGAGGAGAACAAAGATACCCCTGAAAATTACGACCGCTATGCCAGAGGCAGGAGAAGCCTTCAGCCCTGCACATCGACTGCTCACCTGAGGGTGTACAAGATCTTGCCGTCATTCCATATGCGGAGGAGCTGGTTGGGGGTGGTGATCCAGTGAGCCTCCGCAGTCTTCGAGTTACGAAATATTGTGTCCGGGATCCAGATTAAGCCAACCATGTTGCTGTTCAGAGTCAGTATCTTCATGGTGCTGTTGAAGCGAAGACGGCTGTCTGTCCACGTCTGGGCAAAAAATATATCAATTTGATATTCCTGCAATGAAAGCATGATATGCAAATTGAAATCAGTTCCACACTTCCCACTACTATTTGGTCTTTGATAAGGTCCATCTGGGTGTAGAGCAGCAGGATATGTTCAGGTCAATGGAGAATGTTTCCTTGTTTAATTGCCTGAGGAAATACTTTTTTTCCTTCCTTCTTTTTTCTTTTTCTTTTTTTTTTTTTTTTCCCCTCTAGCTACTTTGGAAAGCAGGCCAAACAGCTCACTTTGTCGGGGAAATTTTTTTTTTCCTTCCTTTTTTTTTTTTTTTTTTTTTTTTTTTTTTTCCCCCCCTCTAGCTACTTTGGAAAGCAGGCCAAACAGCTCACTTGCCTTGGTCCTGTGCCATAAAAATTTCTGCACTAGCACGTTTTTTTCCACTGTCTCTGAACAGTCAGAGCTCCAAGATACAATTTGCAGAGACTTCATTGTCGCAGGGCAGACTGATAGAAGAGGTGTGAAAGACAAACAAGAGCAACACACATAAGGTGGAGAATGGTGAATTCCCTTGATTATGGCAATGCCTTTTGGGGGTGTAAGGGTGTAAATGTAATAAATTAATTGCTCTGTTTGTTACCAACTGTTCGGCCACTTGGTTTCAGGTCACACTACAGCAGAATTGAAAAAGCATGTTCGTGCTTCTTTACAGGAGCCTCAGGTACCCCAAAGCTAAGAGCAGAGCAGTCACTAGTTTACTGCCCTGATTAGACTAATATCGTAATTTACATTAATCTCATCCTTTCTTCCACTCCATGTTTACTGCTGTGTCTCTGTAGGTAAGCATTCATAGTAGGTACAATAGCAGAAACATAGACAAACAGACAAAATGATATAGGTGAACATACAAACACGCTGATTTATGCATTTAATACCCCATGGAAGAAACTGTGCAAAACCCAGTATTTGAATTGTGAATTTCAGCCACCAGAGGCTGGAAAACGTCACGTTTGCATTTGCTGATGTTTTTCTCCCTCTTTCCAGACTGCTCTACCTATGGACCCTGTGGAAACAGCCATCTGACCATGTCATGAAAGACCATCTCAGCATCTCAGGGCTGGCCACATCTGTGACAGGGATCAGGGATCACTGTTTGCTGATGTGACACAAAGCATATGATCTACAACGCAGGCTAATACAAGGGCTGGGCATAATCCAGAGCACACCATCTCCTTACGTCCCCTGGTAGATGCATTCTTGGTATATCTGAACAAAGGAGAAATAAGGCTGTGTGCAAAATCTGGTACATGTTTGCCTTTGACCACTCTGAACTTGCTTCTGTTGCTTTTTTGTTTCTCTATTCCTACATTTCAAAAGGGAATGTGTAAAAAGAAATACTACTATACAATCAGCATGTTATACTTTTTTATTTATAGATAGTTAGAAGAGCTTGTATTCTGAACTGAAGACAGTGTTTTTGCTAAGAGGCATCTGGTTCTCCAGTGTTATTACCTTTTTGGCAGGTCATCCTTCCAAAGCTGATGTTATAACACCAGGAAACCTAATTCACTGGCACTGTAAACCTAGTCCAAAACACACTCTGGGCCTCTCATCTCTAGATGGCAAATGATCAATAGGTGCATAAGTGGTGCTTGCATGCATCCAAATACCGGGTAATAGATCACCTTAGGAATTAAAGCCTAGCCACCAAAGGCATTAAGGACCATTTTTCTTCATAGCCTATCTCACTGCCATTTTTCATTGTATTATTAGCTTTATTTTCTCAGAGAAGCTGACAGATTTGAATCTGAAGAGACTTTTCTTTCATCTTGATGAGCACAAAGTTGCACATCTTCACGCGCTTAAAGGATGCAACGTAATGTGCACAGCGTACCCTTATTGCTACCTAGCTCTAAGTATTCACCTTAATTCACCAGGTTTAAGATGGCAGAGTGCTGATCTTGTTTCTTTGTGCTCAACTCTGGATCATTTTAGTCCTTGAAAGTCCAGTGACAAGAATTTGGCACATGCAGCTTCTATAGAGAAGAATATGCCAGACATGTCTATAGGTTTCTCCAAATGCTGAGTGAGTAGAGTTGCTTTTTTTAGCTCAGATGTGAGAATCAGTATTTATAGAATCAGAGACCATTTGTATACAGCTGGCTAATGACAGTGCTGTCTTTTTACAGAACAAATTTTTGCATGATATTCATATTTGCTTTATTTTGACTAAATTTAGGAGGAGACATAATTCCCTTCTAGTGGATTGCCGTTGTAGAGACCGACACAACACTGAATATCAAGTTGCAGCAATCATATATTTTATTTTACAAGCAGTGCTCTTTTATATCCTTTTACCTGGTTGCTTATCTGTGCATAAATTCTAACATTCTACTTTTGCCCACTCCGCTCTCACATCACACACCATCCAGCCAATACAATTGTTGATCACATGCTGTTCATGCTCTGGGAAAATCCAGGATGTTTGCCACCCCTTATCTTGTTTGCTCGGATTTTGTCAGGATTCTCCTGTCTCTTCAAGGGTACATGGGTATCTGTTCAGGGTCAGTGTTAAACTTGTATTTTGATCCCTCGGACCAGCCGAGGTCTCCCACAGTGGATCGTACATATTTACTTATATTTAGGATTTTAGGATTTAGGATATTTAGGATTTCTACCCGACCAAAGGAAAGAAAGCCCTTGAGCTCTGTAATACAGCATCCTGAGAAGGTACGGCAGCTAGGTCTGAGCAAAGTGGGCACCAGAAGGAGCACATTGTGGTTTCCATCCTGACAGACTACTCTGGCTGAGAAACAGATTACGTTAGCCTAGAAGCGGGGCCATGCTAAGACCATTTTCCAACTCCCATTTTGCATCTCCTTTACTTAATACTGCAACTAGAATATGCCAGCAATGATCATCGTTCAAAATATCTCTGTAATGGGCCACTGCAACTCCATTCACCTCAATAAAAACATTTCAACTCAAACTAAGTAGTTCACAGATCTTCTCAGTTATTTAGTTCTTTAAGAAATGCATTCTTCTCTTTGTAAACTGTGGTCATCAAAAGCAAAGCAACATTTTTAAAAGTCAAGCAAAGTTGTTTGAAATTAGTTGCATTGATTTTTTCAACACTATTTTTTTTATTTAAAGAATTTACAATGTTCAGTCAGAATGTACAAACTGCAAAACAAAATTTTCCCAGTATAAATAAACGCACATTACCATTTAATATCTGAATTACAATTTCATACTTTTTATTCTCTCCATTAATCCTTTTTAGAAGTGAATGTTAGATTAGTACATCCTTTACATTAATCTTTTTAATTGCTTCAGTCTTCAGCCAAGCAGATAATGGGGTATGATATGCATGTATCTACTCTACTAGGAAGGGGCAGAGGTTACTTTTGAAACTGGTACTCAGTTCTTCGCTTCTAATGGAGCTAAGCCTATGCACACTTCAGGAAAATTGCCTCTATCTTCATTGAAAACAGATACTCAGTTCCCAGTGAAGTCAACAGCTTCCATATACTGCTTTGCACAAAGCTGGTACAGTGACCTCCAACACACAGCATTCAACAAGAAACTGCCTGAAAAAAGGTTTCTATGTTGGTCTCGGATATAGGTCAATATAACATAGTAATATAAGAAAGGAATGCTTTTCAGTTGCTACCTGCCATTTAGATGAATTCCTATGTTCAAAGACCTTTATGAAATGTAAAGGTTGCACTTAGAGAGCTCCAGCAGGACATCAGGTTTCAGCAAAATGATGCCTCAGATGAAGCATTTGCAACTCTAATGCTACTCTTTATGTTCTGTTCTACCACTGTACCAGAGATGTTGCTAATATCCTCCTGATTCTTTCTTTTCCTGGTTTTAATTTTTGGCAGCAACCATTGATCACTATAATGAACACAGGAAGAAATAAAAACCAGGCAAATATTCAATAAGGTTTCTCCCCAGCGGCAGAAAGGTGAAACTATGTTCTCCATGAAATGATGCCAAGGTTATGTACAGTAAAGTGTTCTGTCACTAAGCTTTCCTGTCTAATAGGCACCTAATTTGCCCTGCTACCACAAGAGGCTCAAGATTTTTCCTACTTATACCACATATTCACACTGCACCTGGATGCATTAACTGAAGCTACACTCCAGAGCAGCCACACTTCTGAAAACACATTCTCCTTGGGAAGAAGTAAGGGACAACTATACAGGGAAAAACAGGTCTGCATATTAACATGAAGGGATATTCTAGGGAAATTGTATTTCCTTTCATATCTCATATATTTGAGAGATAATATAAAAATTCTCTGACACAAAATTCAGCTATAAACTTGAATGGATTGACAGAAGAATAATTTATTATCAATTTTAATAGATTTCATCATGTTTGGCTTTAAAAGTAAATTCATAAAGCATGTTACATATATAAACTAAATTCCCCACACTTAAAAGCTTAATTGAAATGGAATCTGTTTGAGGATTCCACAATCTGTCCAAACCTGATTACATAAGGAACATGGGGTTTTTTTTAATAAACAATTTTAAGAAATTGAAAGAGCAAGAAAGTGAAACTAGAATATGAGAATGTTTCCCAGTAGAAGAATCCTGACATATACAAGTACTCAGCTGAATCTCTAACTGCATAACATCAGGCCTTTTAAAAAAAAATTAAATTGTCAATGGTTTTTACTGTTTCTGGAAAGAATAATGCTTTTCATTAAAATTAAATCAGTTTATTTGTATTCTGTTTGTTCATAGAAAAATACACCTCTCAGTGAAATGTCTTTGTTTTCTTTTCTGTCCCCCATGATGACAAGCTTATGACCAAAGAATTTGTCATCAGTTCTTTTTTGCAACGTCCCTTAAATGAATGTGTTATCTTATACTTTTCATCATGTAAAAAGCCAGTTTGTCCTAATTAAAAGACTTATTAAGAAACACACAGTACAATCTGAAAGTAATAAGTAACATTCTGTCACTGAAAACCTCTCTATCAGCTCCAACAAGGTCATCTTTGAAAATGGGATTTTAAAATCAGCGCTTGACAATGCTTAC